AGTAAACAGGTCTGCTTACAAAGTGGCTTTGATGTTACTGTATGATGAAGTTTTTCTTAAAGACTAAAAATGAATGATCTGTGGCAGACAAAGGGGTTGGTTCTTGCATGGATGTTTCAGTCAGATATTCTTTGTGATTTGTACATGAAAATGTTATCAAAATACTTAAAATTTGGAAGGGTGTTAAGAAGACAAATAGTTATCAAAGCTTGATCAGTTTGGATGTGTGGTGTAACTGTGAACTTGGTTATTGCTCTGCTCTGTTTTTTATGGTGGAGGAGGACTTGCCAAGGCTGAAGAAATAAATTAATCCAACTTTCACATAAAAACATACTTTGAAAAGGATCATTGACTGTGCACTGACCATTGATTGATATACCAATGCCTTTCTCATAATTTTTCTTAACATTAACAAAATGAAGGTGTTTAAAGACCCACATGAATGTTCACAATGCACTTGTTGCTAGGCTGGCTATTGGGGATGTTACTGTCATTTCTGAAAATGATGAGAAGAAGAGATTAAACTCTTCCTGACATGCTGAAAAATATTCTGTCTTCAAAAATATTCACAGTGAAAGCAGTTAAAATGCATAAATATGTTCTTGTTATTACTTTCTTATGTATGTAATTCTTGCCATTGCTGGACAGATGATGGTATATGACTGTGAGTCGGAAGATGTGGAGGACAAGCTTTACACTGTAACTCATGACAGAAAAAGTTTCAGAGCACCTGAAATAATGAAAAAGATTCACTGAATGCAAATGACAGCTTTCATCTTCCTTTATGAAGCACATGCTCATGAATATATACATTTTTGCATATGTAGAAGCTCAAGTGTATCTGCCTTCTGATAAATGAAAGAATAAGGAAACTATGCATTCAGAACTAGCTAGAAGTTTGCTTTTTTGGTTGAATTCTCTGATTTAATTGAAGTTGCTTTGCTGAGATGGAACATTTCTAAGAGGCTGTCAGATTTGAGAAGGGGGCACTGTTATCCCCATCTCCTTCCATCTAAAGGTTTTGTCCTATTTTAAATGCCACTGTTGCTTTTGGTGATAGAACAGCCTTTGGCAGTTCAGTGCTGTCTGTCTGCACAGTCTGTCCATCTAAAGTCGCGGAGCATGAGAAGCTGATCTCCTAAGGGAACACCAACAATATCGACAGGTTTGATTGACATAAAACCAGTCTCTCTCTTTCACCTCCACTGAACTTTTAGAGTAAATTCAGGGCCTGATTGAAGAGAGATAGGGCTTTAGCCATTGACTTCCATGGGAACAGAATTTGAACACTAGCAACTACTGCCCTCTTCTAAAGCAGCCCTGAATATCTTGGCAAATGCTGTTTAGAAGCACTATCAGTTTGATCCCACTTCCTTCTCAGGACTGAAAGCCAAGTTCAGGGCTGTTTATGTCTTATTAACTAGAGCAGGATTTGGATGGGAACTACAGCAAGCATTTAAATCTTCTCCTTGAAAAACAGGTTATGGCTTAATGAACCTTGTTCAAGTTAAAGCTGTTATTTATTCTGGATATTTCTATTTGTTGCTGTCAAATAGAAGTCAAAGAAAGAGCAGTGCCTTCCATCGTGAAGAGTTTATCAGGATGGAATAGCCTGAAATTTGTCTCAAGTGAATAAATTCTCACTTTTCTGACAGGAAAATACCAACAGTAGATTTTCCAGATAGGCTTTAAAATACCACACATGCTTGAAACTTTGAGGATGTCAAAAACCATACAAAAAGATGTGTTTATCGGTTCAAAATATGAACATCTACAGATACCCAAATTGCATTTTCTATTAAATCAGCAGTACAAAAGGTGAGAGAAGAGGCAGGGACACAGGCATTTATTTTCAGTGTATTCATGTAGAGGAAAAGGAGAAAAGTAAAAATTCACTACATAAATTTAAGTGTGTCTATTCGGAGTGGAAGCGACCAAAAGCAAAAAAAGTTTAAAAGATTCCCCTTTTTCCTTCCTCCCCTTATGAAATGTATTGGGGGCAAAATATCCCACTGCTGCCGCAGTCATTCAGTATAATTCACAAATGTTGATATTGTTTCAATAGTTCCTAAATATTTTCTTTTTGAATTGATAACCATAGTACCTAATTATCACTTTTTTTCTTGTCTGAAGTAAATTTATTATTTTTAAAGCACTTCTGACGCTTCATGAATCCAGTAAAAAAGAATGCTACTTAGAAATAGTTTTCCTGATATAGTTATCTCCTGTTATTTATTTGATTAGTAAATGTACTAATGTCAAATATTCATGTGCATCTGATCTTGCAAAGCCTGGAGTCCCTTTCTTACAAGGGATTTCTAGAGGGCTGAAGTAAACCAGAGATTTGAGTTCTGTGTACTTAGAGCAACATGTTTGAACTCCTAAGACTCTGTTCAATGTTCTACCTTATGTCCTGAAAGAAGAAAGATTATTAATTTGATTTCTTTTTATATTGAGGTTGGTTACCATAGTTGTTTCCAGGTGTAAATCATTAAGACCTACTTCACTTCAGAGCTAATAAGATAATTTTCTATCTATGTAATATGCTATGTGCCTCTGTTTTTCAAAAAAAACCAAACCAAACCCAAACCATCTTATCTGGCCTCTGTCGTTCTGTAAGAACATTTTCCTTTCATCTTTTTGCTTGTGATAATGTTGATCAACACAGATCAACTTTTTCCCCAGAATTCCACTCAGCTGTAGAGGGACATAACCTTCCATGCAGAAACCTGCCTGTGAAGGGCATGATACCATTGTGCTTTTCCTTCTTCCCTGCCTTCTGATAAGTCTGTACAATGTTTTTCACGTGTTTTTCTAGGGAAGGGAGGTGGGTGTAAGGTTGATGGACAGTTCTGTTCAATCTCAGTCAGCTTTAGGAGGCCCCAAGTTGACAAATAAAGGTTGTCAGATGGTAATGCTGGATATTGGGAAGTCCAGAAAAGCAACAGCTTCCTATTTGTGGTTGGCTAATGTATAGAGAGGATATGTAGTAAACCATATGATTTCCTAGCTTGCTCAACCACATCACAGTATATGGGCTAATACCACATGTGTACTTTAGCCGATGATCCTGGCATGTGTAAATATCCAACGTGCAGATTGTTTTTGCATGCTCCTTCTACTGGTATCCTATGTTGCTTGATAGTTGTTCAGTGCTTAAAATAAAAAGCTTTTGAAGCTTCAGATGTGACGTCTAATAGGTCTTTCTCTAAGGCTGGCTTAGCACCTGCTCCTCCCTCACAGTCACATCAAAGTCAATTGTAAGTAACCACTCTGAAATCATGCAGCATCGCGCTGTGGAGTAGAACTGGTGAAAGTGCAGGGCAATCAGCCCTGTAAAATCTCTCCATCTGCAGAAAGAATCTCCACAGCCACCTGGATGCTTTTAAAACTTCATTATTTTAGATTTAAAATGGTTGGCTGAGCATTGCTTCTACCAAAATCTGATACAATAATCGAAGGCAGAGGTGGGGAAGGACCTCTGGGGTCACACAGTCGAGCTTTCTGCCAATAATGGATTGTTCCCTGCAGTTCAGTTTCCAGTGACCTTGGAAATTACTAGCCTGGTAAAATGATAATGAAAAAACAAAGCTGTTAAAGCTTCAGAAGTAGCCAAAGTGATGCTGTCCCAATGAGAAATTGTTGTTTTGATGTGAGATTCTCTGTGTGCCTTGCTCCGTGGTTGCAGTGTTGAAGTGGTCACTGTTTTAATCTACGCTTTCTGACACATTTTGAGCTGGCTGTAACTGAGAAATTGGGAGAGGTGAGCTTGTTTTAATATTATATGAACTTACCTTATCCTTTCACCAAATCATAGTTTTCGTTACAAGTAATTCAGCAACTTGACTAACCCCCTTACTCCAACATTTCCTTCACGTCACTGTGCTTTTAGTCTTTCAACATTTCTAGTCTCTCAGACTCAGAAAATTAGGAGAAAAAAAACAGAGGTTTTGCCTGTTTCCATCAAAACTCCTGGTTAATTAGTTAGAGCCTCTACTCGTCATGCCTGGGAACCCATAAATTCCTGAAAAGATTCAAATGTGACACATCATTTTAAACTTTCTTTCAACTAAGCCAATATTGGTTTACTTATCTGTTGATATAGGCAGTAAAGGACGGTCTGGACATACACCTAATGAAGTGGGTAGAATTTGGCCCCACTTTTAAGAAGGAGGCAGCAAAGGCAAGCTCCCACCAGCAAGCTAATTACAGTTTTGGCTGAAAATGGTTTAGGAGGCTGTTAAAAGCTGGGTGGATGGGCAAAGATCCCAAGACACAAAGTTCCCTTCCTGTTGTACCTATTTGATGTGGAGTAGTGTCTTCACTAGGGGGCTCGATTGTGAGCTGCCTTTTGGGGTGTGCAGCGCTCGGAACATCCTTTCTTCCCAGGGCTCCGGCCCCCGTGACTATTGTATTTACACACACCAGATCTCAGCTGGAGAGGAAAGGGGGTTTCTCAGCTACCAACTTGCTTATAAGAGGAGTTAAGAGCAAAAAAAAGCTAATTGGACTGTGCTTGGCAAAAGTCTATTTTATTCCGTTTATTCAGATTTTTAAAGGATTGGGTGCTGAGAAACACAAAAATAGTGAGAACAGTTATTCCTTAAGCAAATTCTTGCAAAGTTTTTGTAATAAAAACAGAAAGCTGCTTTAGTAAAGCAGTGTTTATCCTTACACTAATGCTGGTCATGAATACATGTCTAACTTTGCTGGAACTAATGTCTGACTCTACTGTTCCACTACAGCAACTTAACATTCTGCGTAGGCTGATTATTTTTTCAACAATTTTTGCTAAATTCTTTTAAGGGCTGCCAGTATATACTTTTTTGAAGCTTAGTAAGAACAGCTGCCAGTGGAGTCAGGACTAAAAGAGGCAAAAAATATCTGCAGAAGGCAAGATTTTACTTCAAAAGATCAGTATTACAAAGCACTACTGTTGCTGGTATAATCACTTTCTTTGGGGGGGATGCTAATATAGACTGGGTTTCTTGTCTTCACAGCCCCCACTGAGCCTTTGCTGTGCAAATTTGCTGATGGAGGGCAAAAGAAGCGCCAGAATCAAAGCAAATACACACAGAATGGAAGGCCGTGGCCCAGAGAAGGAGAGGTAAGTGCCACGCGGCAATTATTTTCCCCGGGTTTGGCAGAAGTCAGCTGCAGACCTGGAGGTCTACCTTTCAGGGCTACGAAGAAGTCAGATTGCACATAAAATACAATAGTTTCTCACAGAAAAAGGTATAGAAGTAGGGGAGAGAGGGAGGCTTATAATAATGTGCAGAGTGTAAAGTTACAGGAAAAGACAATTTCAGAGCTTGGTGTTGAACTGTGCGCAGCCTTATTCCACCCTGAGCCCTCTGTCTGCAGCCAGACCTGAGCACGGTGTCTCTCAGTGGCGTGCCATCAGCACCCTTGGTGTACCTTTTGTAAACCCCAAATCAATTTAAAATTAAGCAACTAAAAAATGTTATTTCTTCTGTATAGTTCCTGAAGATAAAACATCGTCAGGGAATAGGTGGGCTGTTAGGAAAGGGAAAGATGTACTTGCACATCCATGTAAAACTTTCCCAAAAGCTTATGCGAGCTGGACTCTGCATTCTGTCCAAAACAGTTTACAGTAGCCTCAGCTCCATCATCTGTACAAAGTTAAAAAAAAAAAAATCTCTAACAGTCGTCTTCTGCTCTGCTGCACATAGTGTGTTACTAGAATTTCCTTTCTGTATACTTGTACATGAAGTGACTCCAAATGTGCGTGAAATAAGAAAGGATTTTATTTGATTCTTCAATAATTTGTTTACTCTTCTTGAATGTTATTATAGGATAAAGACACTTGAATAAATGAGGTAGATCTGGTCATAGTACCTTCTTATGCATGATTATAGCAGTGAAGGCTGAAGGACGTACAAGTATTTCTATTCTAAATATCTATTCTTTGTTTTTACGATTTAGACTTCAAGGCAAAAAAACCTATGTTGCTCAATTGTGACCCACTAGAATACAAGTTGATTTTTTTTTCTTTTTTTGTTTGTTTGGGGTTTTTTTTGGTGGGTTTTGCTATATTTACTTCAATTTTACAAAGCAAATAAACAAGAAAAGTATTTGGTATTTCTAAATTACATGTTTCTAGAGGGTTTCTGCTTTTTTGTAGCTACTTGATTTTGCTAGCTGATACTTTTCAGACCATTAGCTTATGGCATATATAGTCTAGTATGATTGGTGAGCTCCTAAAACAAACAGAAAGGCCTCTTGAAAGCATAGAAATTTCTTCCTCCAGCAAGGTGGTTATTGTATGCTGTTCCAACAGCAATGCTCCAAAATATTTTTAGCTTTGTGGGCTGAAAGTGCCAGTGTGCTATAAGAGCTTGCAGAAGTCTCCAAGGGTTCATGGCAGTCTCTTATGTCATATGTCTCAAAAAATGGAGACATCTTCTTAGAAGCCATTATGGTTTGTCATGTTAAGAATCTACTAAGGAACAAGTGCCCAAGTAGTACTTCAAGTGGTGGACTCAGGTCATCATATACAGAGCTTGAAAAACAAAGATCTATATACAGGAGACAATAATAAACCCTCAATAAGGTCAACAATCCATATTTTAAAGACCTCTAAATCCCTGTTTAAATAGTAAATACCATCATAGCTATTATCTCCACTATACTTCTATACTTGCTTCAGTTCAAATCAATAAACAAGCGAATATAAAGTTAAAGCCAACAAGCTACCATTATGCCTATGGCCTCAGGGCATTTGCTTATTACATTGTACGTAGTTCATTTGCTGCTAGTGGAGTGGCTTGTAGTAAGCACAGTGATATCCCTGTGACCTAGAGGCAGGGTGTGGCTGGTCTGGTTATAGTATCAACATTTAAAAGCTAGTTTTCAGTGCTGGGAGACATCATTCCTTATTGTTGTTCTCAGTCAACTACAGAGCTGTTATGGTATAGACTACAAATGTGGAAAGATTGTAAAGATGCAAACTCAGAAATATTTCAGGCTAAGAATATGCTCTGTTTTCTTACATTTTTCTTAGATTTTCTCTCTTTGCTAACATCTGGTTAATACCTTGCTGCACATTGGATATTTACTACTCAAAGCATCAAAGACAAGAATTCATGTTCTCTTTTAGGGTCACTCGTTTGTTGGATTTCTTCCCCACAGTTGTTATTTTTCTTATTTCCAGTGTAACATCCTGGTGTGTAATTACTCTTATATTTTGTATGCAATAGGGTTTTTCTAACTCTTTGTCCTTTAACGATCTTACTCTAAGCACGATGTACCATTCAGTCGTTCTCTGTGTAGCACCACTTGGGTAACCTTCCTACAATTACTCTTGTCAACTTCAATCTCTTTAAAAAAGAACAGGCAGTGAGTAGTGAGAAATAATTGATACAAGACAAGTGTCATAGTTCTGATCACAAATGGGATCTGGAAATAATCCTCACACCTCTGCTTTTTCTTGGTTTCTTCCCCAGAGAAAAGCACTGAAATAGTGTCCAAGAGATTATTCCCTCATTATTTCCACCCTGGCCAAATCCTATGGTATCTAGACCAAGATGTATTTTGGCTGTTGTTCAGATAAGCCTTTGCATTCTTGAATACTTACGTGAAGGGCACTTCTAACACTTTTGAGGTTTATCCAGCATTAACAGTGAGCGTGCATGAGGGTTATTGCTCAGAAGGGCAGACCCCAGAGAAGTGCCACGAACAGTTCTGTCCCTGGCCCCAGATTTGAGCATGCAAAGTAGAGACAGGCAGCTGTGTCCCGTACTCTTCTATAAGGGGGCAAAGGCAGGAGATTTAGTGTGGAGGAGCAGGTTCACTGCAGTGTTACTTCTCTGGCCATGCTGCTCTCAGAGGTTTTGCTCTTTTTTATGGAGAGCTTCTGGAGAATTTTAGAAGAGAGAATTAATTTTTTTTTTTTTTTTAAGTTTTCAGGCCATACTGGAGAAGGTAATAGAAAATCTTATTCCTATCATACATTTTTGTAGATTGCCTCAGAAACATATAGGAATACTTTAGTTGGCTGTTAAACTGGCTTACCTTTTAAAGTCAAGTCTTTAGGAATACAGTGAATATCTCTAGGGCTTTTCATGAGATTTTTTTGGTACTTGGTTACTTGACCAATTGTAACCAGGGAAGAATGCCTGACCTTGAATAGCACTTTCTAGTCCTTACCCTTGTATTCTTGTTTGAGGCGTCAGGAAATACTCAGCAGATTTACTGAGGCATTTGACTGAGGATTTGTAATGGCTGACCAGTTCTGCACTAAGAAGCCGAGAGCTTAGATTACTGATGTCTTTGTAAAATGCTGTCACATTAGGCATCTAACATACAGGTGCAATAAATGTAAAGTAAAACCTGCATTTGCAGTGAAATTCTGACCAAGTAACTAATACAGTTTCTGCACAAAGTTCAATTATTTTTATTCAGGCTAGCTTTTTTCTGAGTCAGACTGGTTTAATTCAACACTCTGTTTTGAAACTTTCCCTGACAAGATTGTGTTGAGATGGTGATAGAGGGTAATCACATTCAAATTCTGTCTGTAAGATATTTGATTTCATTTACCTCTAAACTGCAATTGACAAGCCTAGAGGTGGGTGTCATAGCTCCAAAAACATGTTCATTAGCTGAAAATACATCTGGGGAGTTAAGAATAGTTGCAAATTGAGATCAGATTGGATTAAATATCGCAACTTAAATTTTACAACACAATCTTTTATTGCAGACTGACTGAAACTTTGTTTCGGTTATTCAGAAACAGAATCTTTTGATATGTGTATTTAAGAGAGGGTTTATTTGAAATTTATCTGGTAGAAAGGGAGAAATCGAACGTAAACTGAAAATAAATTAAAGTTTATTATTGTTTACATTCTAGGAAGAACAGTTCTAGAAATGGTAGCCTTTCTATATCTGGTCAGTCCAAAGTGCTTAAGGTTTTTTTTACAGTCACAGTATTTTGAAATCTGTGATACTTCATTTGCAAGTTTCTGTAAAATCTAGACTATTTAAATGTTTGTGTTGCAAGAGAATATCACCGTTACAGTATTGGTGCATATATCATGACAGCAACATGCACCGTTGAATGTAACCTTCTTGTTATTGAATATGGTCTGATGTCTGTAATGATATTTCATAACTGACAGTAATAATTCTTCTATTGATGCTTTCTTACTTCTGTAGTCTGGGTTACATTTTTGTTTCTCAATAGCCAAGAGGTTAACCTCCATTTCCTCGCTTTCCCTCTCTTCCTCCTTTCCCCCTTTCTACTTTATTTTCTTTCAAGATCAGTAAGTGGAATATCTAAAGATTTAAACATGGTCTTAATTATTTCTTAAAAAAATAAGATGACCTAGTAGTTTGGGAATGTTACTTTTGTTAACAGTTTCTCTTTTTATCTGCTACTCATTACAATTTTGTCTAATGCAAACAGTAATGTAGAGAGAAAAACATACATTAGGTAATTTGAGAGTCTACCCAATTTTTTTCTGAAATCAGTACCAGTGAAGGGCTGAAGCACTGGTGCCAGTCGTCCGTTCTTTACCAGCACCAGGCATTTAGAAAAGATTAGGTCTGTACCAGGCCCATCTACAACTCAGACATAGATTTTTTTTTATGCTTCCAAGTAGATAGGTACTGCTTAGTTGTGCTCCATAATTCTCGGTGTCTAGGGGTGGTGTATTTTATACCTAGAGAAACAATTTTTTCTCTTCTGTGGGAGACTATTTCCAGGCCTGTCCAGATATGCGGTAGTACCCTCATACACAAACCACGCACAAAGACATTTACCATATATTTAGCGTGCGTGTAAATTAGATGTTGGTCAGTATTTTGCATGCTTATTTTCAGCAAAAGCGTAGTTGAGCAAAGAGAGAAATTGAACCTGAAGAGAACTCCGCACAGAGGGAGAAAGTAGAAGGGAAAAAGGTAACTGGCAAATAAGGGAAATGACACAGAGCAATGAGTTCAAAACTCTTCATGGCGCAAGACTCTGTCATTGTGGGCAGTGTTTTGAAAAGGTGCCTAAGTGGCACAAATACCAAGGACCAGTTTAAATGGTTGGATGTTGAGCTTATAAAGCACATGGAAATATTTTAAAATAGTGACCTACATGAA